TGGGTTGCTTTAAGGGAGAGAGGCTGAACATTTGAATGTAGCCATATTAGGCACATCCCAAAATGAAGGGGGTCTCTCTGCTGACCTCTTCATTTAAAAACTATCGATTGAACATCTGCCTCATGATAGACACTCTTCTAAATGCCCGAAATACAACAGTGAACAAAATCAGTAGGTGAGGGGTGGGGGATCTCCTGCTTTCATGGAGCTTACAGTTTAACTGGGGCAAAAGACAATGAACATAATACATAAATTATATAATATATGAGGAGATGCTAAGTGCTGTGGAAAAAAAGTTTTAAAGGATTGCTCAGGGTTTGGCATTTGGGGATACAGAAAAGACTGCAAGAGCGAGAGGGTTGTAATTTGCAATTTTATACAGGGTTTAAAAACAAAGGACAGTGTCACTTGAACAATTTTGAAGGAATTAAGGGAAAAATCATGCAGGTACGGGGAGGAAGAGAGTTCCAGGCAAAAGCATCAGCCAATGTAAAGGCTTTGAGGTAGAAAGGTGTCTAGTGTGTTCAAGGACTAGCAAGGAAGTGAAGCCAGCATGGAAGGAACAAGAATGAGTGAGGGAGAGTGGTTTGGTAATGAATTAGAGAAACAATGAGAATGCAGAGCTTAGAGAGTGCTTTAGGATGTTGTGAAGTCTTTGGGTCCTACTTCAAGTGAAATGGGGAGGTACTGGAGGATTTTGAGTGGAGCAGTGACACAACCTGACTTAACATTTTCAAAAGGGTCGTTCCGGCTGCTGTATTGAGAATAGACAGTAGAGGAACAGGGTAAAAGCAAGAGTACTTCAGAAGCTATCTCAGTACTTTAGGGCAAAAAGTGGACTGGGGTGGTGGCAATTGAAGTATGAGAAATTATCCGTTTGTATTTAGATTTTGAAGACAGAGCCAATAGGATTTGCTGACAGATTGGATGTGGGGTATGAAGGAAAGAGGAATCAGTGATGACTCCAAGGTTTTGGAGCAGAAGACGTGACAAATGGTGTTGCCAATAACTGAACTAGAGAAATCTGGGGGGGGGGCGGTGAGGGGCAGCTTTGGGAGGAAGTTGAGGAGTGCATGTTGAATTTGAGACATCTAAGTGGAGACGTTGAATGGGCAGTTGGGTATTCCAGTCTGGAGCTCAGAGGAGAAGTATACACACTGGACATTTATGTTTGCAAGTTGCCAGCATTTATATGGTATTTAAAGCCATGAAACTAGATGAGATCTCCAGGAAGGTGTATAGTGAAGCATTCCAAACACTGAACCCCAGGAACCCTGTAGAGGTCAGGGAGAGGGAGAAGAACCAGCTGAGAGAGGCTGAGATGATGTGGCCAGTGACAGAGCAGGACCAAGAGGGTGGGATCCTGGAGGCCAAGTGGACAAGGCGTTTCCTGGAGGAGGAGGGAGTGATCGGCCGATCAGCTGTGCAGGTCAAGTAAGAAAAGGACTGAGGATGACCACTGGGTTTAGTAACATGGAGGGAACTGGTAACCTCCTCACTAGAGAGAGGGAGAATTTTAGTCGTGAAACTGATGTATGACTCATTACAAGGACAAATTTAAGTTTTAGGAGCTTTGTTTTAAAAAGCTACTCTTCAGTTTCTCAAAAGGTTATAGAATTACCATATGATCCAGTAATTCCATTTCTAGGGCATACCCAAAAGACTTGAAAGCAGGAACTCGCATCCTAGTATGCCAATGTTCAGAGCAGCATTACTCACAGTAGCCAAAGGTAGAAGCTACTGAAATGCCTGCCGACAGATGACTGGTTAAGCAAGATGTGGTATATACATAGAACAGAATATTATTTAACCTTAAAAAGAAATGAAATTCTAATACATGCAACAACATATATATAGGTGAACCTGGAAAACATACTAAGTGAAATAAGGCAGGTACAAACGAGCAAATATTGCATGACTCCACTTACATAAGGCACCTAAAATGTCAAACTCATAAAGACAGAATGTAGAATAGAGGTTATCAGAGGCTGGGGGCAGGAAGGAATGGAGTGTTATTGTTTAGTAAGTACAGACTTTCTGTTTGAGAGTATTTTTAAAAATTTCTGGAAACAGATAAGAGGTGATGGTTGTACAGCAATATGAATGTTGTACATTGTACAACAATATGAATGTACAATATTAATGCCAATGAACTGTACACCCAAAAAGTTTGGAATGGTAAATGCATAATAAAAAGAAAGTATAGGATGCAGACAGAATACTGTCTAAAGAGAAATTGGTTATATATATATATATGTATGCTTGGAACATATATATTAGAATAAAATCAATGAATGAGCAAAAAAAAAAAAAAAAAAAAAAAAAAAGACACCCCACCATTTTTTCACTTATTTCTAATCTAAGAGCAAAGCTTGCTTGAGGCATCATCTGAGATTGGCTTTCCTTGTAGATCCTTTAGTACATGTTTGTTACACTTTTTTCTTTCTTTCTCTTTCTTTTCTTTCTCTCTCTCTCTCCCCCTTCCCTTCTTCTTTTTTTGTTACACTCTTTTTTTTTTTTAATGTTTATTTCTGAGAGACAGAGACAGAGAGACATTGCATAAGCTGGGGGGAGAGAGAGGGAGACACAGAATCAGAAGCAGGCTCCAGGCTGAGCTGTCAGCACAGCGGGGCTCGAACTCAAGAAAGACGAGATCATGACCTGAGCTGAAGTCGGAAGCCCAACCAGCTGAGCCACCCAGGTGCCCCTGTTACACTCCTTTTTAATGGCACAAGCCTTAGCCATTGAAGTAGAAGAAAATAGTATTCTCTTATAAAGGTCATTATCATCAGGAGGGCAGGAGAAGAGTCAATTGTTTGAGATTGATCCAACTAATTATTATTTTTGGAAAAAGGTTCATCTGTAAAATGTTTACATTTTATATCTATTAAATAAATGTATTCCATATGTATTAAATATATATTCATTCAGGAAAATGTTTCTCATACAATGACCCTTGAAAATAATGTTCCTTGGGTTCACATGTTAAGTGTTTTCCTGCTAAAACCAGCATTTTTGATAATTTAGCAGAGCCGATACAGAGCAAACCTTGAGTACTGGAAGGTTTTGTGGCACAGCATATTTAATAACCGTGACAACTCAAGAATTTTAAGCAGACTCGCCTCCTTGTCTGGGATCTGTCGGCACCAGTGTGTCTCTACTGGCAAGCCCCTAAATGTACTGTTTCAGCCAAAACTGTGCTAATGATGGTCTACCAAATTTTAACAGGATATTTTTAAGACTTGACAGTCTCATGATTTAAAAAAAAAAAAAACACAAAAAAACGAAAAAGCAAAAACAACTTTTCCGTCATTCCTTTCAAAAGCTGCCGCTCTAAAATATGTGGCAAATTAAAAAAACAAAAGGTCTAAAATTGCTTTACAGTCTGGATGAAACAAAGACCGGTGTGCTGGTGTGGCTGCAGGGAGCTCTGCGCTGCTTTTGTATGATTTCAGAGGTGAATTTAGATGGCTGGAAGATAGATGGGTGCCAGATGCAGTTTGACATAGATTCAGGCAGCTGCTCCTGGGCTAGGTTTCATTAGCTGGTAAGTGCACCAGCAGAAGCAGCAGAGCGAGGCCCCAAATGCCAAAATGACAGTGAGAACAGTGGAACAATACAATATTCACTAAGTGATTTTAATCTTGGAGATTAACTATCACCCAATCAGTTTCCAGGTCTTAAAAACCAACTCGTACGAAGCCATTAGAGGGCCCAAGTCTTTGTCCACTGGGGGGGGGAAGATGTTTTAGTAAACAAAAAATAAATAAAATTATTAGTTGAAAAACAAAAAGTGTTGTAAACTCATTTTGGTAATATCCGATTAAAAATCACGTCAACCCCCTCCACACACATGCTGCGGTAAAAGAAATACATCCACTGTTGCAACCAGGCAGTAAGCGGACCCAATGTTGGTTTATCTGTCTTTTTCAAATCAAAGTCTTGGGTGAGCTTCCCAGGCCTCTTCCAGCTTTAAGGGCCCCCTCCCCCACCACTACCACACCCATTCTTCAAAGAAAGACCAAGGTCTCAAAATCCAGAGAGTGTACCTATTTGCTTTTCAGCCCTTATGATCTGCATAGCTAGTGGTGAATATGTACGCAGCCACATAATTGTGAATTAAAAAAAAAACAATTCCTATAAAGAATTTTTGCTCTTACTGCTTGTGGGGTCATAAGTAATTATGAAACTGACTCCAGAAGTCCCCATACTTGATTTTAACTCACATGTTTTCTCAGATGTGAAAGGGAACCTTTATTTAGTATATTATTTAAACTTACTAAACTTATCTTTGCTTTTCTGAAAAGAGTGTTATGATCTAATCTATCAGTGATGCAACCATTTCATGTGGAGTAATTTTTTAAGTTAAAATTAACACAAAATAAATAATTTGATTGGACATGTACATATTTGAAAACTGTAAATTTAACCAGTCTCTGCTTTTTTTTATTGAGTCGTAGGAAGCTAATGCATCACTTATAATAACTCTGAGGCATTACACGGTATTTCTTTTTTTTTTCCTCCAAATGAGTGTGTGCTTGGCTCTCTTAATAACAATGGGAGTTGTATATGTGCTCAAATAAGAATAGCTTCCATTGTGTTTTGGTATTTTTAGTGTTTTGCTTAATAATAATGTTGTGACACCACTTTTTGGGGGGGATGTCTACAGAATGGTTAAAGACCTAGAAATAAGCTCGGATTGAGTTAGAAATCTGTATATTCAGGAGCACATCCTAATGTTAACTAATGGCTACATGATACCCTACCAAGTTTGAATATATTCTGGACTTAAGTATGTTGCATACATGTTCTTTAAAGTTGAATTTCCTTGAGTTTAAGCTACCCATCTGTGAACTGATATTTGAATTAAAGGGAATAATACCCTAGGTGACGTGGTTTTAGTTCCTGTAAGTCTTTGGGAGTTATTTCCTAGTGACCAAAGCTCTGCCTCTCTCTTGCTTCCTTCCCTCCTTTTTCTCTCCCTTCTTCTACTGGTCTAGCACTGACGACTTCACCATGTGGACCTCAGTATTGAGACCTTTTTGTTTGTTTCACTGTACATACTGCTCACAAGGCCTGCTCTTGCAAACCTCTTTGATAACGGGTGAGTACTGGGTTAATGAGTCTCTTCGGTTCAGCACACTCAGGTTTAGTGAACCTGACGAGACTCAGTTTGCATTTCTCATGATGGCCTTTAAATAAAGCTTACCTAACCTTTCTGAATCCCCCCTCATAGGGTCTCTGGGAGGAGAAAATGAGGCACGTATGTTACACATTTAGCATAGTACTTGGCCCAAGGGTTCATTCGGAGGTTCTATATTCTGTATTTCTTTCCTTTACTTTGTGCAGATATCCTCTGGAAAATGTCTCATTTAACCTTGTGAGAAAAGTTAATATATGTAGGAAACATATGGAGTTCCTCAGGGACAAGGGTTACATGAATAAGTCCAAGATGCCATTGTGGTGATTACTGACCAATACAAAGCTGTTTCAATTGTTAATAATCATTTGACATTTTAATTCTTTTTTTCCCCCTCAATGAAATCATAAATTTAAGCCTAGTCTTTTACCACTTATGGCTAATTTTGTTAATTATCAATGTTATATCTATTCCCCCTGTTACTTCATTCTGTTTCCATGGTGGTGGTGGTGGTGGTGGTGGTTTTCATTTTGGTTTTGTTGGTAAAATACATATAACATAACATTGAACTTAGCCATTTTTAAGTACACTGTTCAGGGGTATTAAATACATCCACACTGTTGTACAGTCATCACCACCATCCATTCCCAGAACTCTTTTCATCTTGTAAAACTGAAACTTCATACCCATTAAACAATAACTTCCTATTCTCCCCTACCTCCAGCCCCTGGTAGCCACTTTCTGTCTTTGCTTTTGACTACCCTAAGTACTTGTTCAAATAAGTGGAATCATGTAGTATTTGTCTTTTTGTGATGGCTTATTTCACTTAGCATAATGTCTTCATCCATGCATGAGGTTCATTCATGTTGTAGCATATTGCAGAATTTCTTTCAGGAACTTCAGCCTTCTTAAGGCTGAATAATATTCTATTATATGTGTATACCACATTTCCCGTGTCCATTCATCTATTGATGAGCATTTGGGTTGCTTCCACATTTTAGCTACTGTGAATAATGCTGCTGCGAACTTGGGTGTACACATATCTCTCCAAGACCCTGCTCTTGATTCTTTTTGGTATATACCAGAAGTGAAGAAATTGTTGGGTCGTATGGTAATTCTATTTTTAATTTTTTGAAGAACTGCCGTACTGTTTTCCACAATGGCTGTACCCATTTTACATTCCCACCAATGATGCCCAAGGGTTCCAGTTTCTCCACCTCCTTGTCAGCACTTGTTGTTTTCTGGTTTTTTGATAGTAGCCCTCCTAACGGGTGTGAGATAATATCTCATTGTAGTTTGGATTTGGATTACTCTAATGATTAGTGATGTTGAGCACCTTTTCTTGTGCTTGCTGGTCATTCATACTTCTTCTCTGGAGTAATGTCTTCAAATATTTTGCCCATTTTGGGGAGCCTGGGTGGCTCAGTTGGTTAAACATCCGACTTTGGCTCAGGTCATGATCTCATGGTTGTGAGTTCGAGCACTGCATCAGGCTCTGTGCTGACAGCTCGGAGGCTGGAGCCTGCTTTGGATTCTGTGTCTCCCTCCCTCTCTCTCTGCCCCTCCCCTGCTCATGCTCTGTCTGTCTCTCTCAAAAATAAATAAACATTAAAAAATTTTTAAAAACAAAACAAAACAAAGCAAATCCTTTGCCCATTTTTCAATCAGGCTGGTTGTTTTTGTTGTTGCTGACTTTTAGGAGTTCTTTATATATTATGGATATTAATCCCTTATCAAGTATATGATTTGCAAATATTTTTTCCCATTCTGTGGGTTGCCCTTTTACTCTTTTGACAGTGGGTTTTCTTTTAAGTTTTTATTTATTTATTTTGAGAGAGAGAGAGAGAGAAAGGGAACGAACAAGCAGGGGAGGAACAGAGAGAAGGAGAGACAGAATCCCAGGCAGGCTCTGTACCATCAGCAGAGCCCGATGTGGGGCTCGAACTCAGGAACTGTGATATCATGACCTGAGCTCAGATCAGGAGTCAGACGTTTAACTGACTGCACCACCCAGGCACCCCTGTTGACAGGGTTTTTTGATGCACAAAATTTGAAAATTTTCTTAAAGTCTAATTTGCCTATTTTTTCTTTTGTTACCGGTGCCTTTGGTGTTATATCCAGTAAATCAATGCGTAATTCAATGTCATGAGGCTTCTGTCATATGTTTTCATCTTGAGAGTTATGTTTGAGGTCTTACATTTAGGTACTTCATCCATTTTGAGCTGATTTTTGTATATGGTGTTAGGGTAAGGGTCTAGCTTCATTCTTTTGCATGTGGGTATCTGGTTTTCCCAACACCATTTGTTGAAAAGACTATCCTTTCCTACCAAAGGGTCTTAGCACCCCTGTCAAAAATCATTTATCCATATAGGTGAGGGTTTGTATCTGGGCTCTCTGTTCTGTTCCACTCATCTGTATGTCTGTCTTTGTGCCAATACCACAGTTTTGATTACTGTCACTTTGTAGTGAAATTTGAAATCAGGAAGTATAAGTCCTCTAAGTTTGTCTTCTTTTTCAAGATTGCTTTCAGTATTCCAAATCCCTTGAGATTCCATATGAATTTTATGATGGTTTTTCTATTTCTGCAAAAAAAAAAAAAAAAAAAAAACAGCTTTGGGATTTTGATAGGGATTGCATTGAATCTGTAGGTCTTTTGGGTAGTATTGACATTTTAACCATATTGTCTTCCAATCCATGAACATGAGATGTATTTCCAGTTATTTATGTTCTCTTTAATTTCTTTAGCAATGTTTTCTAGTTTCCATTGTACATGTGTTTCACCTCCTTGATTAATTTCTAAGTGTTTTATTCTTTTTGATGCTATTGTAAATTGAATTGTTTTTCTTTTTCAGATTGTTCATTGTTATGTATAGAAATGCAACTGATTTAAAGTGATTACTGATAAGGAGGGACTTCTGCCATTGTGGTATTAGTTTTCTCTATGACTTAATAGCTGTTTTTGTCTCTCATGTCCTATATTAATGTCTTCTTTTGTGCTGAGACAATTGTTAATAGTGAAATGTTTAAAGTTCTTTCATTTCTTTTTGTGTATATTCTATAGCTACTTTCCTTGTAGTTACCATAGGGATTACGTTTAACGTCCTAAAGTTGTAACACTCTAATTTGAATTTATACCAACCCAACTTCAATAACATACAAAAACTCTGCTCATTTGTAGCTCCATCCCAACCCCTTTTGGTTGTTGATGTTATGCAGTAGTCTCTTAAATTGCAGAAAAAAACAGATTTGGAGTACAAACCAAAGTTACAGTAATACTAGCTTTTCTACTAATATTTTTTTTTTCTTTAAATCTATTTGTGTCTTGAATCATATTGAAAATAAAAAGTGCAGTTAAAAACCAGTTTTGCAATAATACTGTTTTTTATAATTGTCCTTGTATTTACCTTTATTGAGATCTTTATTTCCTCAGATGTCTTTAAGTTTCTGTTCAGAGTCTTTTCCTTTAACCTTGCTGGGTTCCTGAGAACATTTCTGGCAGGATAGGCCTAGTTGTCATGAACTCCCTCTGCTTGTATTTATTTGGAAATGTCTGACTTTCTCCTCCCTTTTGAAGGACAGTATTGTGAGATGTAGGATTCTTGGTTGACAGTTTCATTCTTTTAGAACTTGGAATATATTGGCTAACTTCTGGTCTGGTGGCCTGCAGAGTTTCTGATGAGACATGTACTGATAACCTGATTGAGGATTCCCTTGTACATGACAATTGACTTCTCTCTTCCTGCCTTCAAGATTCACCCTTTGTCTTTTGAAAGTTTTATTATAATATGCCTCAGTGTGGATCTCTTTGAGTTCATCAACTTTGGAGTTAGGTGAGCTTTTTGGATGTTTATGTTCATGTCTTTCATCACATTTGGGAGTTTTCAGCATTATTTCTTCAAATATTCTCTCTACCCCTTCCTGTCTCTCTTCTTCTGAGATCCCATGATGAGTTTATTGCTTCACTTGTCCCACAGCTCCCTTGGGCTCTGCTTGCTTTTCTTCAATTTTATTCTTTCTATTCCTCAGACTCAATAATTCCCAGTGTCGTATCTTCAAATTTGCTGATTCTTTCTTCTGCTCAAATCTACCATTGAATACTTCTAGTGAAATTTTCATTTCAGTTATTGTGCTTTTCAGCTGCAGAGCTTCTTTTTAGTTTTTTTTTTTAAAGGTTTTCTATCTCTTTATTGATATTTTCATTTTGTTTCACACATCATTTTCTTGACTGTCTTCACATTTTCCTTTAGTTCATTGAGTGTCTTGAAAATAGTTGTTTTACAATCTTTGTCTAGTATGTCTCAAGGTCTTTTTCAAGGACATTTTCCATTGATTTATTTTTTTCCCTTTCAATGGGCCATACTTTCCTCTTCTGTTTTGTTTAATGCCTTGTAATTTCTTTTTGTTGAACACTGGACATTTGAGTCTAATATTGTAGCAACTCTGGAAACCAGATTCTTCCCCCTTCCTCAGGGGAGGATAGCCCTTCTTGGATAAAAAGACAAAACCTCATGAAGACAAGACTTTTGACTTTCCTCTTATCTGGAATGTGGATGAAATAGCTGGTAGGTAGCAGCCTTCATGTGACTCTGAGGACCATGAGGTGGAAGGTTACATTTGACCCATCCTTCCAGTCCTGGACTGCCTAACCCCACACTTTTAATTTTGTGAGAAAAAAATAAACTCTTTGTTATTTCAACCACTGTTAGTATTTCTTTTTTTTTTTTAATTTATTTTTAAAAATTGTTTTTATTTTGAGAGAGAGTGAACAGGGAGGGGCAGAGAAAGAGGGAGGGAGAATCTCAAGCAGACTTCCACACTGCCAGCACAGAACCTGACATGGGGCCTGAACTCACGAACCACAATCATGATCTGAGTCGAAATTAAGAGTTGGACACTCAACCAACTGAGGCACCCAGGCACCCCTGTTAGTATTTCTTCACTCACAGGCAAATGTAAATCCTGCT